ACACTCCAACTAATACTCAGGTTCATAATGCTGGTATGGCTATCTGTGCTATTGCTCGCACCCTTCCCGTTCTCATCATGGCCAACAGCTAATGTTCCAGAGAGGATCGCGGCGTGGTGAGTAGGAGTATATCGAGAGAATGTGAGGTCGGTCTTCCACTGAATATGTCGTCCCGCTTAGAGCGTCTCAATGAATTCTTATGATACTCTCCAGCTAATACAATAGAGTATTCATTTAACGAGTGAAAGCTGTACCAATGGTAATGGCAGGCTTCCTTTTCAGTTGTAATACAGCCCTTCGTGGTCACTGTGAGCGGCTACACCGGGCAGCTGCATTGTGTTTGGCACGATTGATTGCTCGAGAAGATATCGTGGAAAATCACGTGAAAAAAGATTTCTTCTCGCAGCTTAGTGTAGGAGGGTCCGAGCAGTTCTACAGTGTGTGATAATTTGATATTCAAATGTGGAGAATGTGCGTTATTCTCCGAGATTAATATGTCGCATAAGCGATGTAAACATTTCTATGAAGGTGTGATGTGATAAAAGTTATATTTCGAGACTGTATTAGCAACGACTTCATTAATCTCGGACTGGAAAACGCACATTGTTCACGTTTGCATATCAATTTGGCACACAGTGTATAGCGGAGGATATGTTGAGAGCCATTGTGGACTGTAGAGTGCGGAGTTATGCAGGCACTTTCGATATCGGAAGACTCGAATGCCACGCGATGGTCGTGCGTTCTGGTAGCGCATCAGCTCAGCAAACTTCCCACGCTGCGCAACATGCCTAATAATGAACTGACGGCTATCGTCCAAGCCGCAATAAGCGCCTGGGGTGAGTGAGGTTCTTCACTATAGGCGTACGTTTGAGATTCATTCAGAACTACCTGGTTCACCGAGAAAGATTATGGCGGCCCTATGTGGGCGACTCTCTACTGAGTTGGTCGAAAGGGAATGCCCAGATGATGTCCGCCAAGCTCGGCAGCAGTGGAGGTGAGTAAAATGATTTTACTTCCATAATTTTTTATGAGTGGCAAAAAATTTTGTACGAAAATGCGAATGCTTACCTGGCCGTGAAATTCATGAGCCGCAATGTGTGACTGTTCTCGGTAGGATATTGTTCATTGGAGTTTCACCCTGGTGATATGAGAAACACTAATGAAAGATATATTTCACGACTACTGCGTAGCGCGTATAGCGGGTTTATCAATTACTATCGCGCCACTTCACGTAAAACGGGTGAAACTCCATTGTATCTCCTACTCCATTCCAATTTAGTCATTGTCTTGGGAAATCGGGCGCGGTGTAGCTCACAATTTTCTTGACATTTCTTCCACATGTCTAATGTCATATGCATGTATGGCTGGTTGAATGAACTCTCCGGTTGTTGCTGTCTCGGGGGACTCTCGGTCGTGGCTCTGCGATGGAAACTGCATGGTAGTCTCTTCCTATGTATACACCGGCCCAGGATGGACCTGTTTGATGGCTGTATGGTAACGATGGTTTTTTTCATCCGTACATCTCAATGTTGCGAGTCATGGAAATCCCCATGACTTCCAACCTAGAATTTCCCTGTGGTTGGAACTATGGGATGGATTTAGTGAGGGAGATATGGTAAGAGCGCCGAATGAGATGAGATTTATGGGACTCGTCTCGCGATGAGACCAAGATGCTAGCATTTGTATCGATGCTTTGGAAGAGTATCCCCCTTATTGGTCATGATGATGGAATGATGTCGACGAGGGTCTCGAAAACTTCCTCCTCAAACAGCCACCCTGAGAGCGGTTACTCGCGGGTGCCTGGATGTACTTCGCCGACGTGATTTGTGGCTCAGAGACACATGGACTGGATCTCGGCTGGTG